ACAGGCTGCTGTAATTTTTCTTGGCAGAAAGAGATCCCTGGAGGAATTCCTCTGTTTCTGAATACTTTGCATTAGTTGTAGACACTGTTTGAGATACTCTCTCTGTCTGTGTCAAAGATGGGGAATATGTTGCATAAAGCACTTTGCTCAGAGGCCTGTTAAAGGCACCTTTATGTCTCTAATGGACGAGAGCTGTGCATGAGGGGATTAATCAAAGAGCAGAAATGATCCCCCCTTCCTGTTTCAAGAAATATTAGTATCTTACAGGCCTCATTTTCCTACAGCAATTGAGAAATGAAGTGAATGCTTCAGGACAAGTCCCTTACTACTCAGGGACGGTCAAGTATAAAGCTTTACTGAGGCAATATATTTACTTCTTGAAAGAGTATGTTCTGTCAATTCCCATTTGTTTTATTTTTTTGTTTGTTTGTTTTTGAGTATGCCTAGGAGCAATTCTGATAAGTTCTGAAAGAAATCGCCATGGAAGGTCACTGTGACAGGAGTTAGGGGAATATTTTTTATTATCTCTAGTAGCTTCTATAAAACAACAAAATTTTCTCTACCCTCTCTCCCCTGTACTCCCCCACCCAGTAATAACCAGATACTTGTGTGAATTTTCGGTATCTGGAGAAAATTTAGAAATGATACAGTAATGGGTTTCCAGTAAGCATTATCTCCACTGTATTATACATCATTTGGAAGCCTGCTGATCTAGATGAATTATGTTAACCCTTTATGTTTGTTTTCTAACTAGATGCAAAAAGAAAAAAATGTGTTATACTAAGCAGCTGTATTTTATATATAAACCTTCCCCTTATCACTTATCTGTATTATTCCTGTATATTTCTATTCCACCAAACTGGAATAACTCATTTTCAACCTATCAGATATGACTTTTCTACAATCATCTACAGCTGAAATTGCAGTTTTCCAATCCATTGCATTAGAGGCTTAAATGGTGCACGTTCTAACCACCTCTTCTTCTCTTCGCTCTTTCTTCCAGTGAATTCTGTGCTATTCTAGTGGCCTGCTAATACCTGATTTCAAAAGCAAGAGAAAAAAATGAGAAAGTTTCTCAAGAGAAAAACTCAGTGTGGGTAAATGGTTACCGCTGCAATTCCATGACTTCATACTTCGTTTTGTAGCACTGTAGCCAGCGTTTGTTACAAAAATCTATAGCAGATTGTGTCACCTACTACATTTCAACCTCAAGGAAAAGATTAAAAGCTGTTCTTGAGAGATCAGTACAAAACAAACAAACAAACAAGCTGATTAAAAAGAAAGTTCCCTATTGGTGTGTCTCTCTCAAAATAGGACTGTCATTTGCCCAGGTCCTGTCAACCTGAGCTGTCTGCTACAGTCTGGAAAACCTTCTAGGACTGATCTTGCACCGAGTCTATAGATGAACTGTTCCAGTCTTGCCCTCACCATCTTGTGAGTAATGTTTTTCTCCAAGATATCACAGTATACACCTATACTAAGAAGAACTAGGCTGTGTACAGTGCTCTCCATGTATTTGTAGGCTGCATAGCTGCCAACTCTTCACTAAACTAAACAAATGTAACTCCCTCGTTTTAATTCTCACAGGTAATGTTATTTAGGGTCATTTTTATCTTCTCCAAAGTCTCAGTAAATCTCTTAAACGGGCGAGTCCAAAAACTGGTCGCACTAATTCAAGTGAGCTTCAACAGTGCTGAGTTAGAAAAGTATAAAAATTTAGCTTGATCTGCTGGCTTTGACAAGGATGTGTAGTTTGTCTTGTTGCTCAGAGAGTACAGTTAGCTCATTTTCAGCTAAACATTCGTAGCAACTACCAGACCTTTTCCAGCATTGCTGATACTGTTCAATTTGGCTTCATCTGTTACTAATAGAATGGCCTAAGACAAGGTTATTCTGACCTGGGTGCAGAACTTTTGCTTTTCCATGAAGTTTAGTTGGTCCAATTCTGAATTTTTTCATGGCCTTTCTGATTGATAAATCTCAACACTCAAAGACTGAGTCTCTGGAATGTGTTAGAAGTTCAGACTTTGCTGATTTGACCACATTTAATTAAGTATTTTATCAGAGTAAGTCTCTTTATTCTAACAGGGACACATCAGTGGTTAATTTCATTCCCCTTGCTGTAAAAAATTATGAACTGAATGTTCCACTGAAGCAGAACATCTATACCAGATCTTGACTCTTATGTTCTAACTTGCGTGATCATCTTCTCTGTAAACTTCCAAAGTCTGAGTTTTATCTTTCTCACTTGTAGTATTGCGATCAGTCCAGATCACACTATATCAAGAAGTTTAGTCTAGTTCAAAACAGACGTTCTGGATTCTGACCAATCCATTTCAAGTATTACTAGTCTTGTAGTATAATTAGCTTACACGCTAATTTATTTCAGTCATCTTAACCGTCAACAATTTTTGAAAGCCTACAGTATTTTTTTTTTTTTTTTCCAGGACAGAATGCAAGAGATTCTGCTAGTAATTTATTTATTTTTTTTAATTTTATTAATCATAAAACTAGTTCTCATTTTCAAGTGCATAAAATAAGAAGAGCATTAAAATTTATATATTTGAAAGAAAAATTGACTTTCTTGTGTCTATTTCTTGTTTTACTTCACCACTGAATCATTTCAAAATCATTGAAGGCAAAGGTGTTATACTAGCATAAAATCAATAAAAAGGGAGTTGAAAGGGCCATATTTTCTACATGCAGTGAATGAGAAATGAAAAAGGGATTTATAATATCATAAACCTTGGAACTGTGGTGATTATCCTAGATATGGCCTGCCAGGGAAATGACCACCATCTGCTGCTGCCCACCAGTGTCCTGAAAATATAATCAGGCTGCTAGTATTTGCTGAAGCTAGCAGCAAGCTAATCCTTTCAGTTTCAGCTCTTAAGATTACATGTAATTGTGTGTAAGATGCAGTCTCAGTCTGCACAGATTTTTCAGACTCTGAACACTGAAGTAGATCACATTTGCCTTGAACTTCTAGCTCAGCCTCCCCTTTTCTATTTGTATTTCATTGTTGCTTTTGTTTTTAAGTTGCTGGTTTAAAAAAAGAAGCAGAGCTATCTGTGTCTTTCCTCTGGTTGATGGATTCAGAAGTGGGACTTTATGCCAAACATCTGCTTTGAAATGAAGTTAATCTTTTACTTTATGAAATTAAGATAAGACTGCTTTTAAAATACAGAAAATATTTCAAGGTTCTGAGGGAGCTTTGAGTGTATATACACATCTCTACAAAAGGAATGCAGAAGCTAGTCCATGGTAAGACACGATGTGATAAAGAAATCTGCTGAAGTGAAATAATCTCTAGCAGGGAGAAAAGGCACCAAAAACATGGATTACAAGAAGAAGGAGGTGATGTAGAAGCGGGGAGAATTTTTAAAGAATACAAAGGAACCCTAATTCAAATTTATCTGTTCCTGTGCACCTCTGACTTTCAAAGTACTACTTATAGAGAATGTTCTTAGAAGATTTTCTTAGTAAAAAGAAAAGGAAAAAATACTATACAAGTTCCCACTACTTCAAAGTGCAGCTAAGCATTAATACATTCGACCAACAGCTTCTGAAATTAGAGAAATAAACAGTTTGAAGAGAAATGAGAATATGAATAAGGTAGAAAAGAGAAAAAAATTGTGTAGGGATTCAATTTTGTTTGTTCTCATTTCCTTGTTTCAGAAGAAATAAAGAAGTATTAAAAATTAAAATGCGAAGTCACTCTCAGACAAACCAAATGAGAATGATTTCAGCTGGGCTGGTAATACTGAGATCTCAGGGGAGCCCATTTTTCTTCTGTGTTTGGCTATTATATAAAGAGTATCTCTGAACCGTTTGGAGTGGCCTGCTGCAGTAATAATGTATTTCTTAGAGTTGCATGTTTCACAGAGAAAAGGCAGGACAAGAGAAACAAAAACCACTTGAAGAGGTTTTTTATGTCAGTGTGAAATGATAAACTTTAACTTCTGTAAATGAAAACAAGGCTGAAAATCTATGGTGACAGTAGACACAAATTAAGGATACAAATACATTTGGCTGTAAGAAGTATCTCCCCAGCCATCTCAATTTTTGGTCAGCGCCCAGAGGAGGCAGGAAGGGTTTAGAGTACAAGCTGAACTTGACCCTGTCATTGAAGGTGTTTACAAAAGTAAGGTTATGAATATTTTAGAAAAACATTGTGGAATTTGTTCCTTTAATCTTGGAGCTATCATTGGGATTCATAGATGTTATGTTAATAGATAGAAGGGAAAATAAATACAATGGCTTTTCCAGCATTAATGGGCACTGAAGATGTAATTTCCACTCCATGACATAGCAAATCCCATTGTGTATATAGATAGAGATGAAAATAATGGCTTATGTATCATACTAAAACAACCTATTAGTCTATATTAGGGACTCCCATGTGGAAGCTTAAGAGAGTGAGTTATTCCTCTAGCTCCCTTCCTCTAGCTTACCTCACTGCCTCTGTGTCTGTTAGTCACACTATGTTTCCCAAACTCTCCTGTGCACAATATGGAAAACACAGCTGATAATGCAGAAGGAAAGAAGGCACAGCAGTTGCTGGTAGCAGCAGGAGGCAGAGGGCACAGCAGAAGATTTCCTCCTTGGTATTGGTCTTCTGAGACAGCTGTGGCAGATCTTTACTTCTTCCACACCCATCCTCCCATTTTTGTTTTCAAGTCAGTGCTCTCCTTCTAATTATAAAATAATAAAGGAAGTGGTTCCGTTGCAATCATCTTGAGGTTTCAGTCCCAATTCTGCACTCGCTATATTTTTATTTCAGCTTAATTTCCTTTTCTCCAGTGATATTACTTCCCAGTTACGTAGAAAGAAAGCTTTCTGAGCTATCTGTATGACTAACATATAGAGACAAGTTCAGTTAAACATATATTACAAAATCTATCGCAAGTGCTGCAGTACATATAATAAGGAAGATGAAACGTCATGTGGAGAAAAGACAGCTTGTTGTATCATAATTCTGTTTCTACTTTTTCTCATAGTGAGTGAAAGATGGCACAACACATAACTGATGACAAAGGTAGAATGCGACAGATCTATCCTTATTCCAGTCAAGTGGAACAACTGTGAAAAAGATAAAGGTCCTAACCTCACAAGGTATATAAATGATAAATGTGCAGTAATATTTTCTCTTTCTCTATATTTTTTTACGTTTGATAATGCTGTACAGAGTGACTTATTTTAAGATCTCTATCTCAATATTATATACTACATTTTATTGTTAAGTAAATTACTGTGCTACCTTTGTTTAGTGCATCTGTATCTTAAGATGCTAAAATTCTCTTAGAATATCTACCAAGTGAGTGGCATCTTTACAGTGCTATTTGTTATGGTGAAGCCTAATGGTATTTCTTATTCAGAGGCTGTACCCATTTGATGTGAAAACAAATAATTAAAATAAATTATGCCCTTAGAGTCTACAAACTAAGGAGACAAAAATATCTATCTGAGAGGGAGGTTAATACAGGGATATCTGTTGACAGTGTTATGAAGACCTCAAAGGGATACATACATTTGTCTGCCTGAAGTGATGTGTGTGAGGGATTCCATGTCAGATTGTTAAGTTTAGCGAGCAGGATTTCTAGCAATAGATTTTCAGAAAAAATGTGGTTACCCTGGGGTGTTGTTTACTTCCCAATTGCTAGAGCTTTCAGTGAGATTTTGGCCTTTTTCTTTTCCGCTTGCACATTTCTGTGTGTGTATGCATGTAATTACTGGGTTTGCTTTTGTTTTGTGTTTTTCTGCTTATGTGTTATCGCACTCAATGTACTGAGAGAGATTTTGCAACCTTTAACGCAGCTGCCAGTCACTTTCAATAGGTGCCTGTAAGAATGCATACCAGTTTTCTTGATAGTGATGAGCAACTCTTAGCTGTTGTTATTTCACCTTGCATCTTTTTTTTTAATTGTCTTCCTCTGTTGTTTACTCACTGTGAAAAGCTCCCACCTTCTGGAAACTTTAGGTCCTGAATGTTAGCAAAGCTGAAGGCTTTGAAATGCATGCTGCTCAGCCATGCTGAATAGCTAATGACCATTAAGCTTCTATTGCAAGGATAACATTATTAACAGCCCAAAATTCTCAGCTTGGGGCAGGACTTTCACTTCATTCTGTTTTGTGTGTTCCATCATCTATCTGCTCATTGGTGCTCATAGTTTTAGAGGTGGGAGCTAACTGAGGCGATGTATGAGTAGAAACAAGGAAAGAATTTTAATAAAGAAAGCAGCATGGGCTAAGAGGCCTTCTCTGTACTTTAATATGCCTTGTGGTCTTCTTGTCTCCAAACACATCAGACTATAAATAGCTTAGTTTTCACCAATCTGCTACTCTTGCAGAAAATAAGAGGCCCTAGGCTGGTCTGTACTGTCTTGCTGGGAAAGAGCAACCCGTATCAGCCACCTCAGCACATGAGCTGCTGAGACAGGTCTTCAGGGCACATCCAGATCACAGCTGTCCTGCCCATAGAGCACCTGAATAGGGTGTTTGTAGGCACAGCACTTGCCCTACACAGCTTACATCACCCTCCAGAAAGCTTGATCCTTTTGCGACTATGTGTATGCTCTAAAAGCCAGTTTTGACAGCTGACAAATAAACAGTATTATCTGGCATATCAGCACTTAACAGGGAAACCGGAGAGACAAGGACAAATTTGGTATTGTGCTGTTCTGCATTGGAGGACCCATTCACTCATAGCCTCAAAGGTTGCCAGCTGCTGTATTAGAGCAATAGGCTGAGCCTATTCCCAGCTTCTCATTATTCGAGTGCTTAAATAGATGTCTCACACAGTACCTAAACTCTTGCCTAATTCAAGATCTGGATGTTCATTTATTGTGGACGTATAATCTTTTTATTATGTTGGCTTTTTTGAGTAAGTCTTGTAACAAGATATTTCAATTTCTGCCTTGTCTTCTTCTATCCTAGCTGTTAGGCTTTTGTTTGTTTGTTTGTTTGCTTTTTTCAGGGTATCTTAGCCCACAGATGAAAAATAGAATTAGAGAAGTCGTGGGGAAATGAGATTTCCATAGGAAATAAAGCTAAGTAAATTGGGATTTAACAGAATCACAGAATTGTAGGGGTTGGAAGGGACCTCCAGAGATCATCGAGTCCAACCCCCCTGCCAAAGCAGGTTCCCTACAGCAGGTCGCACAGGTAGGCATCCAGGCAGGTCTTGAACACCTCCAGAGAAGGAGACTCCACCACTTCCCTGGGCAGCCTGTTCCAGTGCTCCGTCACCTCACTGTAAAGAAGTTCTTGTGCATGTTTGTGCAGAACTTCCTATGCTGCAGTTTCCAGCCGTTTCCCCTTGTCCTGTCTCCACTCACCACTGAAAAGAGTCCAGCCTCACCATTCTGCCCCCCACACCTTAGATACTTAGAGACATGGATCAGGTCTCCTCTCAGTCTTCTTTTCTCAAGGCTGAACAGACCCAGATCACTCAGCCTTTCTTCATAGGAGAGATGCTCCAGGCCCTTCACCATCTTTGTGGCCCTCCATTGGACTCTTTCCAAGAGATCCCTGTCCTTTTTGTACTGGGGAGCCCAGAACTGGATGCAGTACTCCAGATGAGGCCTCACCAGGGCAGAGTAGAGGGGGAGGATCACCTCCCTCGACCTGCCGGCCATGCTCTTTTTAATGCATCCCAGGATGCCATTGGCCCTCTTGGCCACAAGGGCACACTGCTGGCTCATGGCCGACCTGTCGTCCACCAGGACACCCAGGTCCCTCTCCGCAGAGCTCCCCTCCAGCAGGTCATCCCCCAACCTGTACCAATGCATGCAGTTATTCCTCCCCAGATGCAAGACTCTACACTTGCTTTTGTTAAACCTCATCTGGTTTTTTTCTGCCCAGCTCTCCAGCCTGTCCAGGTCTTGCTGAATGGAAGCACGGCCTTCAGGCGTGTCAGCCAATCCTCCCAACTTCAAAGTTCTGACCCAGTTTGGATTATTTTTAAGTCACTTACTCTCTATGAACTTGTAATAAATCCTTTTTTTAATGTGAAATTCATAACACTTTCTGTGTATCAATGAACAGTATCCTATTTAGTAGCAGTATCTACCTTCTAAATTTGAAATAATTGAATGATTGATTCATTTACAAGACCGTAAGAAGATTTGGGAACAGATTTCAGACTTGTCTGAATTCAGCTTAGCTATTGATGACTTCAGAGTAGCTAACCTAATTTATATCAGCTTTAGACATGGGATTTACAACCTCTTCCCATCTAGTTCTGATTCTGCTCCTCCCAAAACAAAAAACCAAAATACTTACTGATAAGTCTTCCAAATGACTTCCAAAAGCTGTGTACTGCAGTTTTCTTCTTTGCAAAGTGGTATGATGATGATAGTTACATTGCTTGGATAGTGATATGGAATTATGGAATGTGAGATTTTCAGAATGAAACATCTGTGGAAATAAACTCTGTATAGAAGTGATATCATTTAATATCTTGCAATGGGAATAAATACAGAAAGCAGTTTGATGTTTTTAGAAGCCAGGCCTGTTTTATCCATGTTATCATCTAATCTACATCACAACTCTTTAGGGATGGATACTTTCTCATCCTTAATCTGATCGCTGCACAAACTGATAATGATCTTAGGTATAAAAGATAAGTTACTCATGACATGAGAGTGTGCCTAGAGCACTTTATTGCATTGCTTTTACCATTTCTTGGTCTATAAGTGTCTTTGTAGAAATCAAAGGTTATTTCAGTTCTGAAAATTGTGTTGCTGTTATTTCACTGCACTGAGCTTTCATGCAGTGCAGTAGCTATGAGAGGCAAGAGAGCTGTCCATTTTAGAAAGAAAAAGCTGAGACCATCCATTTAATGTCACTTAGGACCTATTACAGCAGAATAATATGATCATTTAGAATTTTAGATCAAAATATAAATAGTCTGAATCTATCCTGCGTCCCAGAGGTGAGTAAATGGAGACAATTTGCCGTCATAATACCAGATGTTTAGCTGTTGCTATAAATTGAACAACAAAAATTGAAAATAAAAAGTGAGCTGCTAATTAGGGATATTAGGAGCCATGTCACAGGTGAAAGATGATCTAAAATGTTGTTTCAGAGTGCAGTGCAATAGTGAAATTAGCACATGTCTATTATCACTGCTTGCAACTCTGCAGGAAACTAATGGAAATAGCTTAATCTTTTCAAGCTGCTCTAAGAGGAGAAATATAGTGTTTCACCTGTTAATGAATTTTCCCTCCTGTCTTACTTTTGATAAATTCTTACTGTAGATCAGTTTTGTTTTGTTGAATGCCTTAGCTGTAGATTCAATACGTAACTGTGAAGATGAGTGATGCAATCATTCATTTTTAGTAAATGGCTGCTGCAGTGATCTGTTGTGATAATGTTTGAAAAGAAAAAGGGCACCGTCCTAAAATTCCCCCTCTTAAACAAGTTTCAGAGAGTTCTTCCATGGTGGTAAAAGGAAAGGCATTAATTATACATTTTCATTATGACAGAACCAACATCGGCAGTGACTAAACATAATTTGTTTAGGTGATAGTGCAGGCTGTTCTGTGATTAAGTTTTATTTCCCACCAGGAGGCATCAGTCTTAAATTACACAGCAAACAGGCAAGAGAAAGGAAGCAAACAATAGAACACTTCCCAGAGGGGGAAAAAAAAAAAAAAAAAAAAAAAATTGACTCTCATTGTCCTACTAAATAAATACTTGTTTATTTATATATTTCTGTTACTTAACAAGAAAATCAGCAATGAGGTCCAGCTTTAATTAAAAGATGCATGTTTTCTTTGGGGCTTTGTTTGACTGTATTTTAGATTTTCAATAACAGTTGGCTTTTAATGAAAAGGTTCTGTTCATCTGGAAAAGAGGAAAGGATGAAAGAAAGAAAAATCACTGAGAAGTGCCTATTGTATGAAACATGCAGTGTCTTACTTCCTTGTCCTGTAATCCGTAAAGAAAGAGAAATTTGGATTTTATTTGGTAAGGTAAGTACAACGCAAGGACCTGTGTGCCTGAAAGTATTTAACTGTGCATGTACAGTTAAGTCTATACAATTAAAGTTGGACATTATACCTTTCTGAGGAAATCTCTGTATATTTTTAATTAGAATTCAATGTAATGCTATTAGAGGCCTAATTTTACTGTATCTTCAACTTCAGCGCATCTCTTACTTTGCATTCATCTATAAATGTGCTTTAGTACCTTACTGAATCAAAGACCACAAAGGAATGCTTTGATATTTGTTAATTTTTAGCTGCTATTAAAAAGTGTTAGTTGTGATTTTCTATTGTAATTTGACTTTTAGTATCACATCCCCTGACTGTTTCGGCCTCTGCATTTAGCAAAAGCAAATACGATCTGATTTCTTATTATCACTGATGCTAATGTGAGAAACAATAAAAACTAGGATGAGCTATATGCTGTTTAACAGGAATGTCTTCCTGTTCAGCATTCTGTTTTTATTCCAGTAGAATTGCATGGCAATTTCAGATGAATGAATAGCCAGACAAATTCAGAAACGCACGTCATTTACCCCAGGTGCAGCAAATATTCCTTGGGAGCTGCTATTGTGCAAAATTAGATTCCTGCTGAATGCAAGTAAAGAACTACATATGATGAAAATGATGGTAGAGAATGTTGTGTGAGCTCAGCAGGTTTGATTTTAATTGAAATAGTTAATGTTCTCTGCATTTAAAATAAATAATTCAAAATATTTCTGACCACTCAAACTCTCCAAAGTGATTAGACACTAAGAAGAGTATCAAAGGGATATTAATGCAGTGTTGTCTCCTTACTGCATGCTTTTAAGTTAGTACAGTTTATTGTGTACTTTAAACATTCAGCTTTCCTTAAATAATATAAATAATTGTACAGTTTTAGTTATTTGGAATCTTAAAATCCAGTTGTCGAATACCAGGTACCTCAATGCATGTCATACATAAACGATGATTACATTGTTATTTCCGAAAAGAAGTGATGCAGATGTGGATAAAATGCTAAATGAAGCCACATAAATTGCTAAAAAAGTGAATACAGTGGATCTGTTGGCAAATTCTCTAAATCTTTTACATATGTACTCAATTTCATTGCTCATAATTGAAAGTCGCTGCAAAGAATTAATATGAAGACTGGCTGACCTGGTGGCCTAAGATTACATCACCTCGAGTCAGAATTTTGTTCTCATTATTGAAGTGACAAAGGCTACAAATCCCAGTAATATATTATGAGTACGTAATGTGGGGGGGAGGATGTGCAGGTTGCGCTGTACATGGTCACCCCCTTCTGGCTACTTAAGAAGTAGAAACTCTGTAATACTTTGAGTATCTTGAATATAGTCTACATCCCCTATACTATATTCATACTCTTCTCTAGAGCACTCAATTGAATTATAACTGGATTTGTCAATCTGCAATGAAAATTACTTTCAAAGGGCACATTTGTAGTTGCTAGTACTGGTGAGATTTGTACAAGAAAGGAGAAGAACTGTTGTCATCCAGCAGTTTTCTCCTGAGCATCTCAGAACAGCTAAGATAAAATGAGGCTGTTTTGCAAGCACACCATTATCCTCTTCCAGAGGTAGAGTACAATGGCAGGAACAAAGTAGTTCTGTGCTGCTGAAAAATACTTGCCTGGCTTTAGAAATAGAATCATAGGGTTGTTTCAGTTGGAAGAGACCTTTAATAGTCATTTAACCCAACTCCCCTGCACTGAACAGGGACACCTACAGCTAGGTCAGATTGCGCAGAGCCCTGTCTAGCCTGACCTGAATAGATCCTGCTGAAAAATCTGCTCCCTTCTTTCCTGTGGCTCCTTTTTAAATATTGAAATGCTGCTATCAGTCACCTGAGAGCCAGGTAGAACAGCCTTAGCTCTTTCAAGCTGTCCCCATAGGAGAGGTGTTCCATCCTTTGGATCATTTCACTGGCCATCCTCTGGGCAAGCTTCAACAGGTTCATGTCTCTTCTGTACTGAGGACTCCTCATCTGGATGCAGTACTGCAGGTGAGTCTTCACCAGCGCAGAGCAGAGAGGCAGGATCACCTCCCTTGCTCTGCTGGCCACACTTCTTTTGATGTAGCCCAGGATTGGCTTTACTGGGCTGCGAGGACACATTGCTCGCTTATGTACACCTTGCCTCCCATGAGTATGCCAGAGTCCTTTTCAGCAGGACTCAGACCATAAGAATCATATGAAAACGTGGCTAAGATGATTATAACAGAAATGCTAAGTGATCTGGTGTATGCAACGCACCTGAATGACTGCAAAGAATGGAGCCAGGATCCACCCCTTTCCAGACCTCATTTAAAGGTTGGCAGTGGCAGTGAGGGTGTCTTGTTGGAAGTTTCTACCTACCTGTAGTTTTCTGTGGGTAAGCAACTTTTTTCCTTTGTTTCTGTGGCTGATGAATTTGGACTTATTTTGACTTGCTATAGCCTAGGATTTTGGCACTCTGCTATTATTACTGTGCTTTTCATTACATTATGGTTTGAATAGAATAGATTTTACTCAGAATAAAATGCAAGAAAGGTAATCAGGGCGAACTGTGCTTCAAGTGTCCAACTTGCAATGGAAAGAATTCTTTTTATTGTCCTAGTAATGTTCCTGAAATGCAGAACTGGGCAGAGAATGTTGAAAGTGGAACTCAAATGTTCCAGCCATGAGACAATCTTGTGTCCTGGAACAATGAAAATCTTATTTATCGACACTTCATTGTAGCTAATCTTTTTTGTTTGTTTGTTTGTTTTTCCTTGGTTCTTCATCATCACCATGTTTCAGTGGAACAGGTGATAAGACAGAAGTGCTTTGATGTATGTTAGTGATTTTACTTCAGAGACAGGAAAAGATTAAATGATTGGATGAAACTTTCTAGGTATATATATGTGATAGCACATATATGCAATCTAATCCGATGAAAATGGATAATAATATGACAATGAAGTAGGTAAATGGGACAAATAAAATGAGAAATGCTAATTAAATCTGAAAAAAAAAATTACGATCCTGAAGTTGATGGGAGTGAACTCCCTTTGGGAGCAAGTAAGGGCAGGATTTCTACCAAAATGCCAGTGCTGAAAAGTAATAGGATCATAGACTGAGAAATCTTTTGCAGTAATGTCTGCTTGCATGGAAAAAATAAAATAACATAAAATTGTTGAAGCGTATTTCAAAATCAAAACCCTGGAAGGAAGTACCTCCAAGCTTCATGAAAGAATGGTTCAAAAATTAAATGTGGTAATTCAGGATCAACATTATGTATATATATTTTACTATCTTTTTTCCCAACTTTTTAAGTTACTAGAAATTTTGTATTGGGAAAGGGCATTCCAAAGGGCATGACAGTTAACTATGATGACAAAATAGTTTCTGATAATCTTGTTTAGGTGAGCGTAGAAGATTGCAGTGTTGGGAGAGGCAAGAAATTGTTCAAAACGGTAAAACAGGCAGGAGTGTGAGTGCCAAAACACAGCTGCAGTGATAGAAGCCTTCCTGCTGGAACAACTACAAAGTCAATTCCTGTGTCATTCGGTTAATTCTATTTTTGTTTAGTTTATTTTTAAAAACTGCTAAAAAAGAAAATCCCTTATCTCTCCTTTGTGTGTGCATAATTCTTCGTAACTCTTGTTACATTCTGATAGTTTAGAGCAAAACCAAAAGGAACCAGGCAACTTCAAAAAGTATGTTCAGTTTTTTGATGCTGGAAACTGAAATTAATTGGTTTTTGAAATGTTCTCAGTATTTTCAGATTTTGTTTGTGGAAAGTTAATACTGCTTGAGAGTTTTGCATCTTCAGCTCTACTTTCCCTCAAAAAACAGACAGTTAATGATAATATGTTATGTGACATTTCACATTCTCTTTGAAAAGACATCTTTTATTTAACAGTGTTCTGACAGTGTTTTAAAGATAATTTACCTAAAGTCATTGTCATTTATTCACACCATTAAAATACTATGCAGGCTTCATGAACAGGGATGCCAAGATGATCTTGAAAGTTCAAAAAGACACTTTTTGCAAGAGAGCTATAATATGGTTGCACTTGGGGAGCATTTTTCCCTCTTATGCCTTGTGTTTATGCAGCTTTTATGACCTTAAGGAAAGATTTCAAGCTGATCCATAGCTGAAGAATAATTTTCCTCATCGTAAGTATGGCACATAAGACTGACTATTGTGATTTACTGAATTCACTGAAAATGTCTCTTGCTTCTTCATGTTACAGATCAAAGCTGGGTAGCAGGAAGAGCTTTCCTCCTGTGTAAATGCTCTAGTTTTCATCTGGAGGTATCAGAGCTTCCTGGGAAATGCCAGACTGAAATGGTTTGGATGTGAAAAGCGTTATTTGGTTATTATCCAGACAGTAGCAAGCCATTACCTAAATTGTTCTTTTTCTGGGGATGCAATGAATGCTGAAATCTTGGCAATTTCCTTTCCAAACACACTGAAGTGGACTAAGTTTTGGACTAAATACTGTTGTGAGCAGATTGGAGACCCTGATAAATGGAATTAAGAAGAAAAGTTGCTCTGGCTCTTCATCTCTGTAATGTGCTTAATTGATATTTTGAAGTCTGCCACTCCAGACTGGTTGCTTGTTTCCCAGACACAGTCATTCTTAAGTCCCCTTTTAACTTGTTCTCCTCAGCAGGATCTCTTCTTCTCACTAATTGCCAGCAGTGAAAGTCTACAGATGCAAACTGATGAGGAAGAAAAGATTTTCAAATGAAAGTGACTAAACAAATTCCACACATTGTAGAGTGGAAGGGAAATGAAGCCTTTCTTATTTGTGTTTGCTTATTTTAATAAGAAATTTATCTGCAATTATTCTATTGGCAGTAATCTGACATCACAAGAAATGTTTCTGCAGATTCCTGTAATCCCAGTTCTCCTCTGGGATTTCTTAAGCAGACAAGGGGTGAACAACTGGAAATCAGCATGGCAGCTAGAACTCCTGAGTTCATGTTAAACAGTATGTATTTTCA